TTTTTAAATATATAAATTAAATATTAATTTAAGCAGGTTTCGTAACTTGTTGAATTGTTTTCTATTAAAAAATATGTGATAAATATTAAATTATAATTTAAATTATTATAAAAATATATTAAAATATTTACCGAAAAACAATTTAATTATCAGATTCGAAGTCATGATCAGCATCATTACAATTATCTGGTAAAGCCCAGGCTGGCCAAATACCATCATTAACATCATCCAAATTAGGAGCAACAGATAAATGGGTCTTTAAATTATCAAATCATTCATGATCTTGATTTACTTCAATACGTAATGTAGATGGACTACCTTTGTGTTTTTTTTGACGCTTTGAAGATCTTTCTTTTTTTTCATTTTCTTGATCGAGTTTTTGAATTAGTTCGCAAAGCTATATAAATATAAACTAAATAAGTTATATTATTAATTAAACAAAATTTACATTTAAACTATAAACTTACACTTTGATTTCGCCATGGAATTTGAACAATATAAAATACATCTTCATTTTCTTCGCCACTAATTTCTGGACTTGTATATTCAGGTTTTATTACTTTTTCAATATTGGATAAAGATTGACCTAATTCGTCAAGATTTATAAATTTTACACATTTATATCATTTTTTTTTGCTTTCTAAATATATATATAATTAATACAAGTTATATTAATTATTATAAAGTCATACAAAGATTAAAAATATTACATAAGCTGCATATACCTGAATTTTTCGTGCTCTTCTTCTATTAAACACTTTATTATTTTCAATTTTCTCTTTTGAAGACATATTTCGTTTGTGAAGGTATCCAACATATCCAATAATTATATCTCTTATGGCATCTTCACTCCATAACTCTCTTTGTCCTATTATTTATAAAAAAAATATATATTATTCAAATATTTATATATATATATAATAATTCTTCTATATACTTACGTAAATCTTCACTTCTTTTATTATAATCTTTGAGGTAAAATCTTATGTAATTATTTATCCTTTCCCGATTATAATGATTGTCTGGTAGTTTTTCTAAGTTAAACTTGAAGGAGGTTTCATCTATATTTTCAGAATTTTGATGACCATTTATCTTGTGACGAATCGAGTTCCACAAAGTAGGATGTGATGTAGAATATCGAGTTGAATTCTGAATTGATTTATTTTTTGGATTAATTATTTCTGAAAGTGGCTCATAAGAGTGTTCAGATCTAATATCTTCAAGAATATTTAATATTTTTTTTTGATCGTTAGTATATTCCTCAAGTCTCAATTTCTCTTTAATCTATTTCTATTTAATTTTTTATTAATTTATTTCTAATTAATTTTTTATTTATTTGGTTAATTCTAATTCTATTTTTTTATTATTATTATTTTTTTTTATATATACATTACCCTTTAACCAAAACCTCAAACAACAAATATGAAAACACTACTATTTATCAAACAAATTGGACATTATTTACCTTATTAAAACCAAACTAGCTAGCAACAACTTTATCTTAAAATGCCTTATAACCACTTACTATACTTAATTCTGGTCCTGTACAGAAAACTCCAAAGCTGGTACTGCAATTATGATATGTAACTCACTAACACCTCATATATACAACATAGCTAGCTACCTTTCTTGGCTATGACCTGTTCTTTTAACAAGATTTCAAATTCTATATCATTTCAACCTATCCTCCCTGCAATGATACCTCTATTAGACTTCAAGCTCAAAATACTATTATCTAATGGATACAAGATGCCTATACTCTCAACCTGCTTCCCATTATACTTGGCGACTTTAATGCCTCAACTAACAATATTCACTTTGCATTTATTAAATACAAACTCCTCCAATTTCTCACTTACAACAATATATACAATCTTGCCTCACATACTTCTTCTTCTTCCCCTACCTGGCAAAATACCAGATCTTGTAGTGAAATCAACTTCATCTGGGCCTACCACACTATTCTAACTTATCTTACTTCTTTCAATATCGAGGATACAGATAATAGCTCTCTCAGTAATAAAAAAATCCTCATTGCTTGTTGGTTCTTTCCCCATGATCTACATGGCCAACGTAAACACAAAACTTACATATGTAGAAGAGTCTTCAACTACAAGATAATGAGCAACTCCAAATAGGATAGCTTCACTGACCAAATAAATGCTAACCTTCTTTTCTATCATACTCCCTCCTCAATGGATACTACAAAATCTCTAGAAACTACCTGTACAAAATTCACACTAGTACCATTATAGCAGCTTTATAATACATTTCTAACAAAAAATTTACAGTCTGAAATTTTCAACACACATTCTCTTTCAAAGCCACCCACTTACACTTTAATCTTAAGAAACTTAGCAATATCATTAGACAAACAAAACATGCACTTAAGCATTTGCTTTCTATTCCTCTTTACCTTAATCCTACTATTATATTACTTAATAATTCAGCTAACTTGAATATTCCTCCTCTACTATCCTCATATAAACTTCTTACTACCCGAATCACCAATGCTAATTTAGAGTAGAAGAAACTCTTCTATGCCTGAAATTTAGAAAATATTAAAGAAATCAGACAACAAATATCAAAGTCTATTGACAAAAGATGCTCTAAACTTCAGACTCACCCTACCTCAATAATTAATAGCATTCTTAATTGATATAAAGACCCTGTCAAATTTAACAATATACATCTCGACAATAATATTATTACTAATCCTTCCACTATTAAAGCACATATTCAACAGCACTTTGACAATTGAACTACCCCTCATCATATCAACTCTAACCTATTCAATTCTCACTGGCAATCTGAATATAGCCTTAAAATCAACATTGATCCTACTTGGCACTCTAATATTCTCTTAGCCTTTGCTGAAGAAAAAATAACCTCAACAATCAGCCAACTCTCCAACAATAAAGCCTGTAGCCTATCAGGTATAAGTTACAAAATGTTCAAGCATGCAGGTCCCAACTTCATTACCTCAATTACTGTACTCTTCAACCATTGTCTCTTCTCCCAATCCATACTCTAACAATAGAAAGAAGGCTGCATCTTTCCTATCTTCACAAAAACTATCTTTGATGGCAACCTTTCCAATACCAGATCTATCAGTCTAATTGAATATATCAAAAAGCTATATACTAAACTCCTTACCAACTGCCTAAACTTTACTTTTTCTCAATATAATATCTTGTTACCTTTTAACTTCATTGCACTCTCTGGCAATTCAACTTCTATCCCTATCCACATTCTCAACAATATTATTGAAGATGCAATCTGCAACTCTAATCAACTTTGGCTTCTTTCTCAAGATATGAGCAAGGCCTATAACTCTATCAACTTCGAACTCTTCCAAAAATCTTTACACCGTATTCAAATGCCCCAGCAACTTATCAATATTTTAACCAACCTATTATTTGACCATACCAACTGTGTTATTACTAACCTTGGGCTTACCAACTTCTACTCTATTAAAAATAGTATTGACCAAGGAGAAACAATCATATCTCTTTTCTGGAGAATCTACTAAGACCCTTTTATTTCATATATCTCTTTACACTTTTCTGATTATACACTCTCTACCTCATGGCAAAATAGTCTTATCAACTCTTCATCTAACCATCTTAGCACATCTATCTCTGTTCTTGCCTATATGAATAATACTCTATAGATTGCTAAATCCAAATAACAATTAGAGGAAATTACTAATATTGCTCCCTTATTCTACTCAATAGCCAACATTTAAGTCAACTCTACCAAATCTATATTTATTATTAAACAAAGCTCAGCCAATATTATATTTTTTAACTCTACTCTTTAATCCATTCTACCTCACCAACCCTTTAAATTTCTGGGCTGCTGGTTTACCCTTAACAATAAACAAACTTCACAAATCAAACTCATTCAAGATGAAGCTATTTAACTTGCCAATATTGCCAATACTAAAAATATAACTAACAAACAGATAACTTATATTATTAATATTGTTATTATTTTAACTATCAAATACCAGCTTTATAATATTATAATCCCTTTATCTATATATAACAAAATTCTTGGCAAATATCTTATCATAGCCGAGCACAAAGCACATCTTTCTCACTACACTCCCAATAGTACTCTCTTAAACCACAATCTCTACAATATTCATAATATTTGGAATATTTAACTTCAACACTATATTAGTAATTTTTTTTAAACTATATTAACAATTCTTTTACTCTTGGCACAACTACTCATATCTGCCTTCAACAACTCCAAAATAATCTTTGGATCACCAATAATATTCTCTAACACCCCCACCCTATTGTTGATAGCCCAACAAGCACACCACTATATTTAAAATCATACAACTTCTAAATTATATCCAAATCTCTATACATGCATTTCCTAACTCTTTCTGGCCTAAAACCATAAATGATAGTAATATTCCTCTTAAAAACATTCTGACAAACCACCCCAAATACAACACTTTCAAACAACATCTTCGCCACAAAAACATTTTATATCTTGAACAACTATGCTTATATGACAATAATACCTTTTTAGATTGGCTATATTTATCTCTCAGACTTCTACATATCTCAACAGGGAAAAAAACCACTCTGGTTTTCTTATCAAGAAGATACTATTCTTGAAAACAATTACTATCGCACTATTTTTCCCCACTTCTAACTTACAGGCATAAACTGATTTGCTTACCAAACTAACCCTTTTCTCAAAACCCACAAACCATGAGTTCTGACCCTTCAAAATTAAGATACTATTATTAGCCAAATTTGCAAAACTTTTATTCACACTAATACTATATCCATAACACATTGGCAACATAACATCGACACTTCTGTCACTACTGTTACTCTCTACTACCTATTTTCTGCACTCTCAGCCAAGATTGCAATGTTAACTTAAACCATATATCTAGTTGCTATACCTTAGAAGTATCTGCTATTCTTTTTACTCATTTTTTGGGTAGAAAAAAAGCCTTCAAACAACTTAACTTCAATACCAACTATATTGACCTTATATGCTCTACTAAAATTAAATATCCAACTAACTTATTCTTATCTCCTACCATCAATATCAATATAACTAACTCACATATCCCTACTATCTTTTATAACAGTGATGCCTCTTCAAAATTAATTGAGATTTTATTATCCAACCTATCCCAACACCAATTTATCTTCTACACTGATAACTCTGTAAAACAACTTGGTACTAACCAATGTTCAATAAACATTGGTTAGGTTCAAGTTTATCAAGACCAAGTTATTCAAAGCTTTTCTGCCCAAATTCTTAACTGGCCCCCCTTATACAAAGCAGAACTACTAGCAATAATCTCAGCTATTTCTATACTTCCTCGCACTCAACTATAGAAATCTTCACTGACTTACAATCTGTTATCTCTAATACAACAAACTTCAAACTTGATCATTCTATTCACCATAACAATTCAAATTCAATGCCTGGCCTATCTGGCATACACTTCTCAATATCCTCAAAGCCTACAATATTATACTCTTCTTCTACAAAGTTCAAGCCCATTCTGACAACCCTTTTAATAATTTTACAGACTTACTAGCAAATAACTACTCTATTTTACCAATTCACTTTAACTATATTAATCTTTACAACCCATTCTCTATTCTGCAATGGAACAATAGCTTTATTAAAAACTCTACTAGACAATTTATTAAATCAATTCGAAAAGCTCAGAATATCACTCTATAGTCCTCACAATATCATGCCCATGAATGGTCTCACTTCTCTTATCTAATCAATTAGA